TGTAGCAAAGTGATATTTTAGTCAATAAAAGTGTAGTTTTTTGAAATTTACTCTTAACAATTAGTAGTGTAATCCTTCCATATTGATGCGATAACATACGTTCGACCGTTAGTCTTATTAAAAGAATAAGTGCAAATATGAAAAATATAATTCATGCTTACATTGCCTTCAATGCTAAAATACGTCACAGCAAAATAAATATTATTTACAGTCTTTTTTTATATAAGAGAAAGAGTTAACCATCATGTTCAAAAGTAAAAAAATGTCATATATTTAGAAATGGGGTAGTAACATTTAGAGGTTCATGTTTTCTATTGATATTTTACAACCTTGCCATTTTTTTACAATTGAGTGAGCAAACCTTTTTTAAGCGTCATCTAGAGCTAAATGACCACTTCAACACGTATCACTTCAAAGGTGCTTAGGGTAAACATGTGGGCAAAACGACATCTGGGTGGAAACCATGAAAACAATGCTATAAAAGTTCTAAAATATCATATATATAGCTAAGGTGATATTAAAAAAACCATGCAAAGTTTTAACAAGGACTTCAACTCGTTTGTGCGATACAAAATTACGAAATAATGAAAAAAAAGATAAAAACACAGAATAGTGTTTTTTCGCCATTAATTTGTTGATTTTATAGTATCTCATGAACAAAGTTAGTTTTATAAGAAATGATCATAACTCAACTTGTTAGGTTTCTTGTGATGGAACCAACCCACCTAGATAAGGGTAGTAGGATGTGTGCACGTGTCTGCATTTGTACTATGTTTTATAAAAAAAAGTTAAGTTTATAACTTGGTATGTTTGTTATAAAAAAAGTTAAGTTTAGAACTTCTAAAAAAAATTCTATGTTTCCATCTAAGGGTGCGTTCTAAACAAAGGTAAAAACAGTTGATTAGTCGCAAGTCGCACACAAAACAAAAAAAAAACATGATTATTATTATATGATTAATTAAGTATTAATTATGAAAAAAATTGAAAAATAATTATTTGATTTTTGGGTGAATAGTCAAAGTGGTCCTCCAAGTTTCATCTGAGGCTCAGTTTAGTTCTTGATGTTTCAATCTATTCATATTAGTCCTTCAAGTTTTTATTTTAGTTCAAACTTATCCTTACCAACAACTCTCTTCATAAATGACACTTATACCCCTCATCATTCACATATATAAGAGAAAAATTGCATGCTTAAATTTTTTATAGATAATACATAGTGTAAAACGAAAAAAAATTATGTACTAACAAGTGTATACAATAGCAATTGCTTAAGTTTCATGTGCACATGTTGAAATAATGGGAAGTACATCTGTAATGTTGTTTATTCATGTTGGCTTTCTGTTTTCTTTTCTAGTATATAGATGTATATAAATTAAGAGCAAAAAGGACATTTTCTAATAGAAATATTAACTAGAAATAGCCATATGGCATATTAAGTGGACCCAAGGATGATTTCAAGTTAAAACAAATATTTGAAGGACCTATGTGGACAAAATGAAACGTGAAGAACCAAATTAAGCCTTCGCTAAAACTTGAGGGACTAAATTAGCTATTCACGCTTGATTTTTTAAAGCAACTTTTATATAGAAAATTTTTACACGAATCGTATTATAGTTTTCACCGTGTATTCCCTAGGTCCTTACAAAAGATAGCTTTGTCTGCAAAGAGTATGAGCCCGAGGTACACGAGAGATTACAAAAGAGTAGAACGCAAACAACAACACGAACGGCTGCACGTACTACCTAAGGAAAAAGCGGATTGTTGATGGAAACCTCCGTAGCTTGCCAGCCCAGGATTGTTGATGGATATCTCGGGGCTGCAAAAAGCCCACCAAGCTTCCAGCTCCTTGCTGCTTCCGAGACAAACCCAAACAGAAAATAGCTGAATAAATGCATTAAGGCCCAAATTAACAGAAAAAATATTAAACAACAAGTCTAGGAATTATACAGTCAGAATGTATTATCTGACCATTAGTTCAGCATCAAGTTATGAATTGTGAAGTAAAAAGATTTAGTCATTCAAACGTTTGAATAAGAGAATGCGAAATAAGTAACACAGTATAATATACCTTCTCCTTCTCAAATTGATCATCATATAATAGAATACAAAATTTCTCAAATTGATCATCATATAACTGCATGGACACGAATTTCATTATAATATAATTAATGTAGCATGAGGGAATGTGTGCATGCCAATGTGTAATTAGCATGGTGTTTTAATCGATGCATGGATCGTGGGAGAATGTGTGCATGGTGTGTTAATTGATATTATTTAAATTATCTTAGTCTTGATGTATAAACTTATATGATGATCAATTTAATTAGGAAGTAGGAAGTAGTACGTTCAAGACAATTTGTTCCCGCATATATATGATCTAATTTTAATAGTTAAAATAAATAGACTTATTTCATCAAAACATAATATTCTTAAACCTTGTTTTTAAAATTTAATTACAATGAATAAGACGTTATAATCATATTATAAATTGAATAAATAATTTAGAAAAAATATTTTGCTACGTATCCCTGTGATTACTACAAGACTATGCACAGGGAGATCATGCAATAGGTCAAAGACATAAAAGAGAAATGCGCAAATTAAGCCCGATTTTTTTTCTCATCAAATGTGACCGACACGGATCGTTATGTAAAGCTAACACATGAACAAACAGATTATATGTACAGGGGCGGGGACCAAAAGCCGCGTGCATTGACAAATCATCCAAGATCACGGTCACGTTGCCAGCCACTCGTTAAAGCCTGAGTTAGGCTGACAAATCATCCAGGAGTAGGGGTGGGCAAAATAAGACCGAACCAAAATACCGAGACCGAGAAATTCGGTTAGTAGTTCAGTCTAGCAATGGAAAAACCAAATTTATTTCGGGCATTTCGGTCATTGGCCTCAGTTAACTGAATTAACTGAGAAAACCGAACTGTGACCCAATAGACATAGTAGGCCCAATAAACCCAATAAATTGCTAAACCCTATAAGTCAGCCACTCCCACTACCTCACACCCTCACCACTACCAGCGCCACCTCAAATCCATTCCCACCCCATCCATCGCGCTCGGCCTTCGCCTCCATCGCGCGCCTCCGCCCTCCGCCTCCAGGCTTCATCAAGCTGCCTCCGTCTCGGCGCTGCCTCCGCTGCGGCCCCGACGAGCGCCACCGTCCACAGTGCGCCTGGTGAGCGGCGGTGTGGATTTCGCCGCTGCAGCGGCCGTAGCCGCAACCTCGCCACCAACGCTTGCTGCGCTGGCTGCCGAGCCGGCGAACACGCTCTCGCTGCCCACTTGGGTAGTCCATGTCTCCAGCGTCACCGAGTGGTACTACCTACCTACCTCTTGCTTTCGCGGCTGCGAAAGATAAGGGGATTATTGCCTTTTCTGTCAATATTTCTGAATTGTAATAAACTTTTATTTTGGTTGCTTATTTTAAATTAGGTCAGACCGAGACCGGATTTGCTGGTCCTGAGTTTATTTGGATGGAATTCGGTCCTGAGTTTTCAAAGACCGAAATTGTTAGGGTTATGGATACCACATACCCAATAGTAATCGACTAAGCTCGGTAGGGCCCACCACATGCCATGTCTTACAAGGAAGGACAAGAAGAGTTCTATATGGAAACGACAAGGACTACTCGGATCGTATCCATATTTATCTCCCTAGTTCTACTTGGATAAGGGGTCATCTATGGGTATAAATACAAACCCCCTAGGAGGAGAGGGGACACACCCATCATATGCCACAGATCCACAAGCAAATACAAGCCAATACGCTGCCAGATCTCGACATCAGAGATTAGCCTAGCCATACCCCATCTGGTACCTATGAAAGCCGGCAAGAGGGATCTAGCGCCATCTCTGATCTCGCCGAGTACGGACTCGAGGAGGAAGACTACCCTGTCGTCAACTACGAGTTGGAGTTCTAGACGTCAAGTCAGCGATAGTTAGATATGTTATCCCAAATATTATATTTGTATGATCTAGATGAACAAAGAGTGACACCGGCTTTGGCTAACAGGATGTAGGGCTATTACCTGTAAGATAAGGGGCCCGAACCTGTATAAAAATCCCTGTCTCCATCTCTTTTAACTCAATCTCACATATACTCTGGTACCAACGATCCCTATACTGTCCAAATATCCTAGTCGTGACTATCAAACATCGACAGAAATGACCGAAAGACCGAAGACCGAGACGAATTTTTCGGTCAAACCGAACGCCCAGGAGAGGTTTTGTTCATTTGTATTGGTTGGGAACACTCCCTTCCGGCATGAAAAACGAAGCAGTTTATTAGCACGTGATTAATTAGGTATTAGCTAGAAAAAAACTTGAAAAATAGATTAATATGATTTTAAAAGAAACTTTCTTTTTTTTTACAAAAAACACACCGTTTAGCAGTTTGAAAAGCACGCACGTAGAAAATGAGAAAGGAGAGTTTGGAACCTAAAAAGACTTCGCTACAAAAGAAGTAAATATATATAGTGAAAGCCACATAAATAATGAAAATATGGAAATTGTTGTTTGATTAAAAAATAGATACCTAAGATTTATTCACGTCATTGAGAGTAAAAATTTTACTCACAGATTAAATCATGAGTAAATTTTTTAATGATGTGGATGAATCCAGGTGTTTATTTTTTATCCAGCAGCAGTTTTCAGGTTTTTATTACATAGGTAGTTACCACTATATATATTTTCCACAAAGGGAAAAGAAACCCCTTGTCACTCGGCTCACCACTGCCAGGCAAGGGAGGGTGAATTTTTCATCTCAAAACTTTCCAATGCTGTTAGAAGTTCAGTCTGCGCATGAATTTGTAACATTCATGCATGCATGTGATTTTTTTTTGAACTATCAAGTTGTTCGTGTGTTGCAAGGGATTTAATTTGAATGTGTGTACGTTAATTAAACGGGTGGACTCACCGGTATATGTATGGAATCATCCGTATATAATAAAAGAATGTATTTCCATCATCCTAATTTTAATTAATATGCACGGGCAAAAATAGGCTGGATCATATCAGCCCTTGTAACATAACCATAATTCTTTTAAGGGCGCATATAATTGGTCTCTCATCATGCTAAGCACGCTTGTATATATATGCAACAAACTTCTCCAACAACTGGATCAGCTAACTAGCTTAATACTAGTTATATTCCTTTCTTTAAGCATCAGGAAATTAAACACTGTGAAAGAGAGAGAGAAAAAGAAAAGGTTTAGATATCGCTTTCAGGCATGTCGGGTTCTTTCGGTTGTGTGATGTGCGCCTCCTCAACCGCATTTCATCATACACCTTACATGCACCCACGTCGTCTCGTCTCGTCTCGTCGTCCTCCTCCTCACTAGCGGCTACCCTTATAAACCGCACACGAGCACACCGGCCCTCCACTCGATCATGGTCATGGCCGGCGCGATGGTCGCTGGTGCGGCCGCCGCCGCTGCGGCGATTCTTGCTCTGATGACGACGACGCAGCACGATCGGCTGGGCGAGGAGTGCGACGCGGTGGTAGCGCCGGCGGCGCAGGAGTGCGCGGTGTGCCTGTGCGAGCTCGCCGGAGCGGCGGGGTGCTCCGAACCCGAGGCGGCGGCGGCCGCCGTGCGGACGCTGCCGGGGTGCGGGCACGGGTTCCACGCGGAGTGCATCGGCAGGTGGCTGCCGTTGCGGGCCGAGTGCCCGATCTGCCGCCGGCCCGTCGTCACCGGCGCCGACGGGCAGGCGCCCGTCGCTGTGGCCGAAGCTGCGGCGGCGGCGGCGGCGCCGGCGTGGTCGAGGGCGGCGAGGATGGCGTGCGAGTTCGGCGACGGGCGGGTGGTGTGGACGCGTAGCCCGTCTGCGTAGGAGCTCTGATTGATCATTATTAGCTCGATCAAAACAATAGCCTCCATTTCTTTTCCATATATTGTTACTGTTTGCTAATGGTTATTACTCTCTCTCCGTTCATTGTTCCTGTAAGAGATGATATTTCTAGGTTTTTTTTTTACGAAACCTAGGTAAATTTTCTCCGAGGGCTGACTAAATTTATAAAAAATATAGTAATATATTATATTAATTAGTTTAATTAAATCTAGCATTGAATATACTTTTATATTATATTGTTATCTTATTTTGTGTTAAAAATACTGGTTTATTTTTCTATAAATTTGGTAAACTTAAAAAAATAACTTAAGACAAAACCAAAACATTTAACGATATGTAATAGGGGGAGTACGTAATATTGTATTTAATAGTCACAAAAGAGAATTTATCTATCAATGATAAGACGGTGTCCTGAAAAATGAGGCTCATGAAACTCCACCGACATACGTGAAGAAAAAAAAAAGCTTTCCCTCTCAATCGCTCGTCCTGCTACATGATTCTAGCTGTTCAACCCTAACAATTGAAGGGAGTCGTCACTTTCTTTCAATAGGTTTTAGCTTTTAGTTGGGTTTTTTTTTGTCGGGTCTTTTCTAGGGGTTCTTTCAGGTTAGTTATTAATCGAACTTTTCTCGGTTTTGCATGAGTTAGTGCACAAAGAGTAGGTAGGAGCGCTCTAGATCTGTGCACAGAGTCTGCGCAAACCGCCTTTCACACCTGTAGCAAGCAAATCTATGAGATTATGGCCTTCTCCTTATGCATCGATAGCGAATCATCAAGGGAAAATTCTATTTCACTTGTGCTGCCATGGAAACTTCAACCTCCACTATGGTGGAAGCCTCGATTAGGTAGCTCTTGGCTCTATCTATTACAGATTGCCAGGAATCCTTCGTCTCCATCACCATCGATTTCGGTTGGGGAGGAGAGGCAACAAATGTTGCGGGCGGAGCAGGTGACGGAGCATCCGGTCTTCTCGGAGACTAGAATCGGAGCATAATTTGGGATGTGTTTAGTTTCTGAAAAAAGTTGGAAGTTTGAAGAAAGTTAGGAGTTTGGAAATAAAGTTGGAAATTTATGTGTGTAGGAAAGTTTTTGATGTGATATGATGTGATAGAAAGTTAGGAATATGGAGAAAACTAAACACGGTCTTGATAAAGGGACTATTATAATATCTATAATAATGTTGTCACAAAACAGAGGCAAAATACAATCAAATTTCACCATGATCGACAGGCCCATACAACCTCCGCACGATCATGGTCTGGCTTGGTTTCCAGTTGGGCCACAAAATATGTTGCATGCCCTTATGTATGAGTGTATGACCAACGAACTTCAAAAAATTCATATGAATGTGTTCCAGATAAATTTTAAATGCTTACAAAAGATTTAAAAATTACAACAGTTACTGTAATTTCATTGTAATTATCCAAATTTCTAGTTAAAGTAGTGTGTAACTATAATGCAATTATGTAAAGTTATAGTGTAAGTAGTATGTAACTAAAATGTAATTTTAACCAAAATGAGCTAGCAGTATTTACTCTACGCGTATATCACTCTTTTCTTGCTCATGATGGCCAAAGCTTGATAGGATGGGTAATTAAATGGTCATGCATGTTGCTATATGAATGTGGGCAATACTACAAAGTCTTATAATATGAAACGGAGGAAGTAATTTAGCGGCACGATTCTTGCTAGACTAAAATCAAAGAGCTAAAAATGGTCTGTAATCTTGTGAAAATTATGTCGCCGGAAGTATAGCAAAACCGTTTAATAAATGGCTCTGTTTCTACTACTTAATTATACGCACAAACTTTTGTTGGCAAGTTCAGAGGGCTTTGCAGTTCCTGCAATATCTGCAAATAATATCAGTTTCCGACTTTTTTTCCGGCCTGGCAAGAATTTTCTGTTCATAAATTTCTAATGAAGAGAGCAGGTTTTCTAATTACAAGAATAAAGTTCAGTAATCAATTGAGGTTGAGCATATGGAGTAATTCATAATATTCATTTGGCAATTGATTAGCAATAACGTCAAGTTTTGGCTGTCAAGGATTACGACTGAATTATCGAGGAGCAAAACTACTGCAGTATTAACGTAAAGCTACAAATTCTTCTGCCAAAATTGTTCAGATAGCAATTAGCAGTATTACATGGCAAGATATTATATACAGGGCAACACTGAACACCGAAATCACTAGATGAAATAATCAAATTTAAACCATTAACCAAATCAAATCAGTGGCTCAAATTCTTAATTAACCTAAACGTGTTGAAATTGACGATCAGTTCGGGCGGATAATGCTCAAACTTGATTACAGCATGCATGTGATGTGGGCCGGGAGGGGGAGAATCGAAATACCATGGTCCGTACGCTGATTTGGGCCGCGGCGGAAGGTGCAGCCCACGCGCATCCTACCGCGCGGGTGGCGCTGGCCACTCTGGACCGTTGGATGGAGATCCGATGGCTTGTGCGGTGGCGCTGCGAGAGAGGTTAGTACCACATCAGAATCCTAGGGACGATGAGACCAACTTATAAACCCGCGCGCCAACTGCCCTGGCGTCTCTTCGGAGACATCCGATAAAATTGGAACGATACAGAGAAGATTAGCATGGCCCCTGCGCAAGGATGACACGCACAAATCGAGAAATGGTCCAAATTTTTTTGAGAATTCTGTCCAGGTCCCTGGAGGCCATACATTTTGTTACAGATATGCCCCTGGGCCTTCTTTATGCGCCCTCGCCTATTCTTATTTCTTACATCCAGGCCCTTACATCTTTGCAGTTTTTCCCTCGCAGTTTCTCCATTACATATACGCCCCACCGCCTCTCTTTTTTGCATCCTCTTACTTTGCAACATCTTACAGATAGGTCCTTTTTAGTTCTTGCTGCTTTCTAGCTGTACACATCTGATGCTTACATATACGCTCCAGTGCCTTGTTAAAATATATAGAGCTTTCATTTGTAACTTTAAAGCCCTAAATTCTTCAGCTTTTCATTAATTGGTCCGTGATTGAAAAATACGTTTGTTTGTTGTTTTTGCCGGAAGTACTGGCAAATCTCCATTGAAGTGTAAAATCCTGTGTTTTGGATGTTCTTCCTTGGTTTTTGTTTATTTTTCATTGGAGCATAACGTCATTTCTTCCTTATTTACTGTTAATTGAATTATTATCTATTATTCTTCTGGGAGAGTGACTATCCTAGGTCTAGGTTTGTAATTTATCATTCATCAGTTGATAACGCAACGACATTTCTAAATTATATTTTACCTATTATTAAAGTATAGTAATAGTAATCTTGAAGGCAAACAGTACGCTAACAGAAATTTATAACAAAACACTCATGTACATATGCACATTTCTCAGCAATAGCATATTATACGTTATCAACAAAAATATTTTGCATTTTATTCAACGGATAGCAGGTATCTCAAAAAGAATTTCAACGGACAAATTTTGGAATCTTAGCACGATGTGAGACCTCTTACCAAATTGTTAAGGGTTGTAGACTTGTAGTATTACAAGCTTATTATTTTCATATGATTCTTAGCTCGAGGTGAGACCTCTTGAAAAAATTCCTAAGAAATAAAGTGCACATCCTATTTCTTTATTTTTTTTTCCTTTTCCTTTAATTTGGAAATTCCACGAACCGAATAAACCCTAAAAGGCATGGTCAGCTGGCCTGGCCGGTCCTCTAGTAGCAAAGTCGTTCTAGATTCAAGTGTTTAATTAACTGAATATGTCTTCACAATTGTCACCACATTAGCACTATAAACGTTGAAACAGACAAAAGCCATTGCTCCACCAGATAGGAATAAGTTGACTTTAGGTCATCCATTTTGTCGCCGAGTCTAAAATTCACCTCTAAACTGAAATACCAGGTTTAGACCATCCCCTAACTCACAATACTGTATCAACTTTAATCTTTCAGCAGCATAGTGGCCAGGTTTGGCTGACGTGATGAGTTGGACTCATGTGAGACATGCATATGCATGCTAGCGGCCAACTCTTCTCCCTCCTCTCCCCCCTCCCCATCCCCCTCCCCCTCCCCCGTGTCACGCGCCCTCCCCCGTCCATGAGCACTTGGAAGACATCCATGAAAGATGTTGGAAGGCCAAGCAAGACATTGATGCTCTTTCTCTCCTTGCCGTGCATTAGGAAGAGGGATCACCTCCTTCTCCAACAGCGTGACGGGGTCGGATATCATTGGCTCCCCCCACCTGAAGTCGGCATCATGGAAGACAAGCTAGGACCACATCATGATCAACAGTGTCGACGCCAGCGATGGCCACGCCCGCATCACGTTGAAGTAGTCCACTACTGACCTCATGTACTCGTACCGGAGTACCGCCCTCGGGAGCGGCAACGTCGCCTGTCCATGATGAACCGTAGCTTCATCTGTTGCTCCGACGCAAGGTCCAAAGCCCAGACAGTGCCTCAAATGTGGTGCGCCGCCTACTGAGGAGATTCTCGTTGTCATTGTTAGCGATGGCGAGCGCGCGGATGTGCTCCAGGCGGTCCGAGTCGAAGTAGAAGGACCGGTACAAGAGCTCCGGCGCGCCGTAGAGCGTCACCATGTCGGAGACGTCGGGGATCTCCTCAACTTGTGGTGTTTGATGAAGATCACCAGCAGGTTGTGTGTCCTCGTCATGCGCCCTCCCATCAGTGCACCCCCCCTCCCCCGCCCCCTCGGGTCAGCTGCCCCTCTCCAAGGCTCACGCGGGGGAGAGAGAGGGCCATTAACATGTGGGGCCCACATGGGTCCCACTTACCACATTTGCAAAAACCGGCCACTGTACTGCCAAGGGAGCAAAATTGACACGGTATTATAGGTTGGCGGATGGGCTGGTATTTCGGTTCAAGGAAGAATTTTAGACTTTGCGACAAATTAAGAAACCTAAGTGAACTTATTCCCACCAAATATACGTTGCTTCAGTTCGGCCCATTGTGGAGCCAAGTGAAACCAAATTAGCTTATCCTACAAACCAAACACGCGCGTGGAATCATCCCAACCCCAAAAATCAGGGATGGTTTCATTCCATCTCACCTAGTCCCAGAACAAAACACACTGTGTGATATCTCATACTAAGTTTGTTTATTTTAGGATCAAGACTGTATTTATTATTAGTTACAGCTTATAAGCCACAGATATACTACCAATGTAATGGAATATAGTTTTATGGTAAGACTTCTTTTT